GTCATTTTCTTCCCCAAGGGTTGTGCTAGAATACCTGCTTGCCTCAGAGAGTGTGTATCATCATGCAAGTTGTTTGAAGTTGAAAAACTATTTCACGCCAGGCAGGGCAGTGGTAGGCTACTTTGAGTTTGGATGCCACACCCGGAGTCAATCGAGTTCCGGAGAGGTTGACGGGATGGGCGTCATGCTCAGAGTGGTGGCTACTCAATTGTATCAGAATTGTTATGAATCACAACTTATAAGAAAGAACCGCCCAAGGCCTGCTCATTGTTTGTTGAGGAAGACCGTTTGATTCTTTTAATTCACCTCACAATCGCTGCCAAACACGGATTTTTCTCATGCTGCCCTGCCTGAGCCTATGCAACTTTCAAGTAGACGAGTAGAACTCACCTGTGTGGCTAGAGTTTTGCGACTCTGGTTTGTTTAAGTGGTCGAAGCGGTTGCAAGTCAATCATTTCAGCCGGAAGCTTGATGTCAAAGGAGCACCCCTTGATTTGCGGTCGAGTTTCCCAGTCAGAGTTGCTAAGCACACACAATGTACCTTCGCAGAGTGTTCTTGCTAATTGGAGATGAGACATTGAAGGTCCACTTGCAATCAGGGGTGTGGACAGTTGGGCTGTGACAGAATGTGGTGGCATTGACCAGTGGATCGGACATAAGATGAAAAGAATAGAAGAAGGATGAAGAAGGGATACACTCCGAGGAAAAGAAACATGGAAGTGGAGTTCACCATCTGTTTGGTTTTCGAAACATGCTCATCCAACTGGCCATTTCATTCCACTTCCAGTACTTGTTTCACGGAAAGAAATCATCAATTGTTTGCGGCACTTGTTGAGAGAACCGGTCCTTCCACAAATCATATGCTTCCAGAGCAATCACATGGTTTGGAATTTTTCCATACACCTACTGTAACTATGGCCGAGAGATGCCTATGATAGTATTGCGTATTGCAACATAGGCAAACGAGATTGGCCGAGATTCCCCGTTTTACCCTGAGGTTGTCCTGGAAGATCGAACGAATTCACACCTGCGTGCCTTCCTTGAGGCCCGTGTCCATGAGGCCCTCCGTCGTACAAATCCGGCCGCGTGTGAGTCATGGACTGGCTTCTGCCAGGTCTGAGCTGGGAGAGTCGGTGCTATGGTGAAAATGATTCGCGCCGGCAGAGCCGAAACCGACGATCGACTCGAAAGGACAGAGCCGAAGCCAGTTGGCGAGTCGATCTCGTTTGTGTCCGATTCTGGCGACGAGCGATGCCTCCACCATTTATGATTTTGCGTGGGTTGAATGGCGGTTTTGTCGCCATTCCATGTGTAGGGTCGCCATTATGCCAGTTTTGGGATAGAGGTGTCCAAAGATGTCCACGGCCGGACGGCCAGAACTCTGCCATGTTACAATTGACAAGGCCCTTGGGATGGTTTCATTTGACAGTTACGAAGGACTTTGCTCGTGCACATTGGCGATTAGAAAAGGCTTGGGCAGAGGCTGGGCCTGAATGGGACGAGAGCTGTCGAGGCTGAGTTCAGCATGTTATCAGACCTCTTTGTGTTTTTCCACCTGTTCCTCTTGTTCTTCATGTGTACCTGACATGACATGATGCTCTCAAGAAATAAGGTGTATTTATATACAATGTCAGACAGACTGCTCCTTTTTGAAAGTGATAGCACATGATTGTAAGTGTGTGCACAAAAACAAATGAAGCCATCAGTGGTGAACGCACACAGTCTTGGACCATTTTGGACCTGAACTGAAGGAAAAGCAGGCAAGGGACGGCAAGCGATGCTGAGTAACAGATCTCAATAACTTTTGGTGAGACTCCCAAACCAAAACCTCAATGACCCTGAATGCCACGAAATGGCGTTACATCTATTGTGCACAATCAGTATATATAATATAATTGCAGGAGCTGAACCACACCAACATCAAAGGCATTTTAGGGGAACTGCCCACCTGAACTTTCATGACAAGACTACTACATGTACGATCATTTATATACGTTCATCCTTTGATCATAACTCGAGTGGGTTTTGGAAAACTGTAAAGGGGCAAAAGAACATGCAATTATACCAGCATCGGCCCCAAACAGCTTAGTCGGCAAGAATTGCTGTTGTGGTGGTGGGCAGCCGCAGCCCCAGCCCCTGCCTCGGAAAGCAACTTAAACAGCATGACAGCAGCAAAAAGAGACACCAAGAGGAACAGGAACATACCAAGAGGAAAACACCACGAACACACCAACAGAAGGACAAGCTGCGACCGGACAACGCCACAAGGACAACAGGACAACATTAGGGGAGCGCGCCAAGAGCAGAACAAGAGGGGTGAAGAAGCACAATAGGAAGGCAAGGAGGATATGACCGAAAAGATCGGAGAGGACATCGGCTTTTGCTAGTGCCTCAATGCTTTGTAGTGCACGCATTGTGTCATGCTCGCACGCTGACAGGCTGCAAGGTGGCCATGCTGCGGTACTGCGGTCTTCGCGCGTGCCACCTGGCGCTTTCCCACTAGGCACAAGGCATTCTCGCATTGGACCCTGTGATTGTGCTTGGGGACGGTGCTTCGCGCACGCATGGTGTGACGGTGTCATGTCTACACGCTGCCATGCTGCCATCTGGACACCAGCAGAAGGACAGCAGGAGGACAAGAACAGGACATTGGGAAGAAAAGAAGAGGACAACCAGAGGAGAAGAAGAGGACACGAAGAAGAACACAAAGGACAAAAAGAGGACAACAGGAGGACAAGGTCCGGAGACCGGCTGGCAGCGTGGCCAAGCTGCACACCCAAAGAAGGACAAGAAGAGGACAACAGGGGGACAACGCCCGGACACCGCATTTACCGGTGCGGTTAGAGACTGTGGCCAGCTTCTTTTTTCCTAAGAGGGGGCTCCGACAGTAAAATTGGTTAGTGAAAAAACAAAAGAAACAGCGCATAGACCTCAAACAGCTTCAGTTTTTTAACGTCAGCTCCTGGAGTTTCAATGTTGGTGGTAAGGTGGGCTTTTTATTTGGTAACTATATTCCTATAGCCTCCAGCTGTTGGGAGCGGCAGGAAACAAAATATGTTTAAAAACAGTTGAAAACAGTAGTTCGTGATTCCCGGGTCACATGTGCAAAAACGAGCGGATGTATGTCATGAGAAAATTTGGAGATGATATCAAAATCGAAACGGAGTATCACTGTTGCATTCACAGCCACACGAAAAGATACCGGGACGACCTGGACAAGGCAGTGGAGAAAGGGAATGCGGGACAAGGCTTGGACAAGGGGGTGATAAACGGGCCACAAGGTGGACAAGCAGGACAGACAGGCCTGGATATGGCCTTCCCAAGGCGGAGAAGAAAGGCTCAAGAGAACAGGGTACCGTAAGCATGGCACGAGGACAAGACGAGGGTTTGCGAGCGCGGCCAGAGGACAGTAGGAGGACAACACCCGGACACAGGGTTCAGGGGCGCGGCCAGAGACTGTGGCCAGTCTTTTTCCCAAGAGAGAGCCCCAACAGTCATTTGTTTGTGGAAAACAAGCAAGAAACAAAGTAAATGCAAAACGTTCAAATCCAAAAAACCAAGCAAAAGAACAAACACAAAAATCCAAAAAACAACAAAGCAGATGGACAAACAAAAGATCAACCCAAAGAACACCAAATGAGTAGACAACGGCAACGAAAAAAACTGATGAAGCAACAACAAGTGACAAAAAACAAAACATCTAGACTCAGTGGAAAACACTAACACGGTAAAAATCCAGACGACCAAAACAAACAAACCTAAGCCTAAGACCTAATTGCGGAAGACAAGCGGGGTCGGTTTGGTCTCTAGGCCTTTTGCGCTGCTGCTGTCCGTCTCTTTATGACATTTCTTGACTCTTGCCTTCTGGCATCTGTTTCCGCGGGTTCCATCGGAGACCCCACCTGTCAGAGCAGAGAGGTGCCAAGGCACAGTGAGCCCTTGAAGTAGGCTAATGGATGAGGCCATGCTTGCGCAACGTACAAAGCCTCCATTTGTTTCTGAGTGGAGCGTTGGGCCGCTTCTGCACGCGGTGACACACCCAAAGTCTATCACCATAAACCCTCCAGGATCAATGTCCAGCGTTGTTCTGACCATGTGTTAAAACAAACTGAGTTGTTTTGACAGTCAGACACCTTGGCCGTGTGCCATTTGATGTTCGTGTGCGGAAATTTCCACAGCGACATTACATCAATCATGAAATTGTGTGCACAAACTGACCAAATCCGGCATTATATATAATAGACTGTGCAAACGTCAATGTCTAACACCACTCTTGAACCCCTATAGAAAGTGCGTGTTCGGACGCCCTGGCATGCAAGGGCTGTAGGCCAACACCATTGGTTCCATTAATATATAATATGTCTTTATCATAATATCATATCATATCAGTTCGTATTTATTTATGTGGTCACGGACCCCAATGAGTGTGAAAGGTCGAAAATAAGAATTAGTGAAACGTCTAGGCTAGTCCTGCCGTGCTGCCCCATCAAAGAGAAGTCGCCGGATACCAATGATGTACTGTACGATACTGTACACATGTATACAAATAGAAATTCTGTAGTATCGCACTAAGGATGTCACAGACTAAGTCTGCACTACTTGCAGTATGGTTTGGTCCTTTGGTAATGAGTTCTGCGGAGTTCGTGTCTCCAATTCTGCGCCTGCAATGGCAAATGCCCCCTTGACCACCATAGCACGAACTCGCTGGCCGATCGTTTTTGGCATGCAGGATGTGCACAAGCGAAGGTGTTGCCATCCTGAGCAATCCAAAGCGTTCCTGGAACGTTGCCAGATTTCACCACCCGAAGGAGTGAAGTAAATGCGCACGCCAACTCATCATGCATCGGACAAATCCATGCTCCAAAATGGAAGACCAATGACCTCAGATCTTGCCATTGCCATGCAGTTCTATATTCAAGTCTTCTCCCTCGCTCTGGGGGCGAAGGAATCTTGTTGTCCATCCACTACATGCTCAGCATGTAGCAGCTGGGCTTTGGGAGATGAATCTCCTGGGTGACCTGCTTCACTGTCACATCCCAGAGGCTGACAATCCTGAAGACCAGGACGCTCTCAACATGTGAGGGCCACAGTGATAGTTTTGGGGAGCAACAGAGTGGAACGGAAGCACAGATGATGGACAGCGGTCGCTCACCATTGGACAATCTAAATTAGTGTTCATCCAAGTATAAGAACGCCATGTGGAACCATTGTCACTGTTTATTAGGTATTCGTTTTGTATCGACAGGGAAAGGAGAAAACGCGTTGTACAACCCTTTTCACGGTGGTTTCTCAAGCAGAGGAAATGGCATCTCGGAGAGGTCGACCTGATTGAGGGCCTTGTGTTGGAGGAAGATTGGAGCTGTCAGGTTTCTGGTGCTCACATGGCTGGTACAACGGGGCTGGTTCCTCCCATGACCATCCCAAGTTTTGTCCCTACAACCATGTCCATTTTGTCCCGTGTTCATTTTTATAACTGTTTGTCCTATTACCTGGAACAGTCAGTAGACAAGTATCACTATTTTTGAATAAGGCCCTTACTATTCGTCATCGTCCACTGCTGTTACTTACTGGTGATAGGATAGACCTAAAATATATGAAACAATATTATCGATCTAATTATGTCGAGCCAAGTTGAGGCTTGAGGATTCAAGGCTTGCCGTGGAGAGACTTCAAGACGCAGGCTACGAGAGGACAGGATATGCCATGAAATAGCCATTGTCATGCGTAGACCAAAAGCACTGTGAAAATCAAAGCTTGGCTCAAGCTGAATGATTGGACGAGAGCCTTTGCAATCGCTCCATTCCAATGAGATGGTTGCTGAAAAGTGTGTCAATGCCACATGTAGGCTTCAGGTGCCACACGGGCCTTGGGCCTTGTCTTGAAAGGCCTTTGTGGTTTCTTGGGTTGCGGTTGGCACGTATTTGGGCAGGACCAAACCCTTGGCAGATGGCGTGTGGATTCAAACACAGCCGAGACCTTGGGTGGTGGAAAAGGAATCAAGAATGCCACGTTAAACAATCAGGAGCGCTTGGTGGATGACGGAAATTGAATTTTTGCCCATGGGGCTCATAGGCCCCTTGTGCATGACTATCCATGACACACCGATTTTTAGGCTTGATTGATTCAAGATGCATGATGTGGTTGTTTCCATGAATGAATGCACCCTGAGGGTATGAAGCCTAAGTCGCCTATATAAGTCTCAAACTCCAACACTCACACTTCACTTGAGAAGTGGGCATTGATTAACCCAAGCTGAGCGAGGACCATTTATGACCCTGGCATCACTTAGCATCCGAATCAAAATGCAAAAGGGACGAGAAGAGCAGCAGGCTGCAGCAGCAGTGAAGGGTCGCTTTACAAACCTGTCCTACAACCGACCTTTAACCTTATCCCGTTCTCCGTTCATGTGACATCCTCGTGTTGAGCATGGCATTTGTCTCTAAATACCAACAATGACACCGGAACAGAAGCAACAAGAAAGCATCTTATACAGAAAGAGAAGGCCGCAGTCAACGACGGAGACTGGTGGCCATGAAACTCGGTGAATTTCCATGGTGCATGGTGAGACGAGCCACGAAAGACTGCAAAGCAATCACCTGTCAGGCCAGCGGACCCGGGATGGTCATAACCAGGATGGTCATCCCGGCTCTCCCCAAGCATAGTTTCACTGGGGAGAAGAAAAATCTCTACATCGAGGGCTCACGCATCGATGGCTTGTACTCGGGGGGGCGCGTTCATGGCCTCCTAGCAATGGCCTCGTTCATCGATTCGGGCCGAGGACGGGGCTTAGTGATGAGATCGGGCCCCTGAAAGAATGGCTCTTCTTCCTGCAGGCCACCCTTCCGGGTGTGGTTTGGACGACATGTTTGAGTGCTGTTGGGAGATTTCGTCCACACGACGTCTTTGCGTGACATAGGGTGCGACTGAAGATACACTTGCAAAGTTATTGACTATACTCGTACCCAGTAGACAGCTGAGAGTGCAGTGTGAGTCGGAGGTTGTAATGATTGTTTGGATCTTAGATAAATAACACGTTCACTTTGGCAGATCAGAACGATGTGCTGCATCTTGATCTTCACACATCATCCTTGACACGATCACAGGTCAACGAAGACCTGCAGACGCTTGACGAACTTAAGGTGGGCAAACATGGAAAGATCTACTGATACTAGTAATGGAGCACGCGGCAAACACTTGCGCTGTGGCTTTCTGGTGACCTTGAGCTGTAGTTCGCGAGGCACGCAAGCAGCTGCAAGCAAAGACTAGTCCCTGGGGACACCATGATCCTCACGCAAATCAGTTTGTTTCGATCAACGAGCGATAAATGATGGTGTTTCAGACATCATTGATCGACGAAGCTGATATATAGTTTAAACCTGTTTCCTCGAGATCATCAGTACATAGGACGCTACTAGTAACAAAGGGCATCGTTACGAACGGAGCAAAGGACACTACGAACGGGGTGCTCCTGGCCTTACTACTAGGAACAGAGGATGCTGCTAGTAACTTGTAACAAATTTCAGATCAGCCTTGAGAAGTCCATCGACCGTCAAAGCTGGGGCTGACCATTTTGGTGAAGAATTTCATGTTATAGTCACGTGCTTTATAGTGTTGTGCTGACTCTCGGATAGTTTCAATGCATGGCGCAAGTTGACTTTGTCGACACGTTCACTGATGCCCATAGCGTAAGCGGACATCCGTGATCATCAGGGCGGCAAAGATGACTATTGGTTGATTGAAAATAAGTAGGGTCCAGCGAGTTGTGGTCCATTCTTGGATGTTGTGCGTGGAGTCATAGTGCTCGGACAGAGATTGATCTGGGTTCTGACTTTGAGGTACTGTACGTATGCAGAAGAAGTTCTATTATATATGAGTCTTATTTGACAAGTCGCTTGCGAAATGTTTACTGAAATATCTTCTCATTTTCATTCGGGATGACATCTTGATCAAACGGCCCAGCACAAAAACACACGAGGGTTCTGAAGCTCGTGTTTCAAGCCAGGCCAGGCTGGAGGGCAAATGGCCAGACTTGAAGGGAGAGATTCCCGCAACTTGCCTTTGATTCTGAACCATCGGTCCCAGTAAAAACCATTTATGATTAGCTGTGTTGTTTGGTGTTCTTTTACTGGGGTCTTGAGTCAAGTGCTGCGCTTGTGTGATGTAGCGTAAAGCAAAACAGTATGAGTCAGTAAGTGCCCTGCAAACTAGCCATTTAGATCGTTGATGCTTGCACGCAGCTATCGTGACTCGTGACATGACCTTTGGTCTTGACACTGGCGCTTCTGTGCATTCACTGTTTCCTCATTAAAGCAAGTCTATTGACAATATTTGCTCCATGGCATCTTGCCGCCCTCTTCAGTTTGTGTGAATGCTGAATCTGGCCTCAGTCATTGCAGACCAACCTTGTGCAAATATACAACTGGATATTCTTGAATGAATCGCAAAAATTCATCCTGTATACACCTCAAGCAGCTATATAATTATTTTGTGTGTATTGAATGACACAGCATCGGAGAAGTCTACACTTAGTGGTATGTTGTGCTGCTAAACGTTAGAACACATGCAGTACAATACCCACAAGACTGCACAGACAGTGCGGATTGGTCAGACAGCTGACATCAGCTGGCCCCTTCTTGGAGAAAAGATGGGCAATTCACGGAAACATATTGCAACCGGGTTGTCCAGTTTCCCTTGCCAACAAGTTTTTGAAGGCTCACATTGATGCCTCATGTTTTCACCAGCCCCGAACACATGCTGACCGACCTGTGAGGTAGTTTCCTGGCCACCTTCCAGGTCGCGGTGGGAAAGAATTTTGGTAAAGCTTTAGAATGCAAAAAAAAAGATTTCATCGTTTTGTGGCAGAGTTTGAGGAACATATTCTAATTGTTCGATGTTGGCAATGTTGGCCTAAGCTCCCACCATTTCTGAGGCATGTGCTTCAAGTGGTTGATTGTCACGACAGGTTCAAGCTTTGACAGTTAGTCTTGTTACTGGAGGTCGTTCTTCGAGTTGATTTGCCCGCTTTGGTTGTGTTTGCTAGGAACATTGCTGGGCTTGGTTGGCATGTCGGATTGGACAAGATGTTGGTTAGATGGAAGACAGACACGGATATTCTAGCATTTACTCTCTCAAGCATCAAGAGCTTGCCCTTGGGTTTCCATCAATAAGTCATATTGAGTCTTTTTGGCCCAGGAGCCGTTGCAGATCCTGGTTTGTAGGGATTCCATCAGCAACGGAGGTACATATGTCACGCTTGTTTTTGGAGTGACAACCCAATTGGAATTGATGTATAGGTAAAGTTCAACCTTGGGCAGTCAGTGTTCGGTACTTTGACAAATGCCAACAGTGCGTGTGTCTGTGTGTGTGTTTGACTTTGCAGCTTCATATGCAATGTAAGGACAATTCAGTTTGAGTATGGTTTATCAACATCGGCAGCGTAAATGTTAAAGCCACACATGAAACGGATCCGCCCGCTTCACCTGAGCGGTCGGTCACAACGTTGCTGATACACCCTTTCAAAGCAACCTACAACTCATGAGTTTAGAAAAGGCGCAGACATACAAACGCAACTGTGGGCGAGACAGAGAGCGCATCACTTCCTTCATGAGAATCGAAGGCATGACCGTGCGATGCATGGTCAAAGGGGCGTGAGGTTGTGCAATGGATGCATCCAAATTGTTCAGGGATGCTACTCAACATGCAGAGGCCCTTGGGCCTGACCGCACCTGGCTTCGAAACTTTGCAAGAATCACAAGTGAAACACTTTGGCAAACCATTGTTTCTACCTTGATAACTGATGCGTACTGCATGTCAGGGCCAACGAAAAGTGTAAGTCGATTGTGTCCGAAATGATGCGATGTTAATTTTGTTTCTTGAACAAAGGTTGGCCAAGTTGGGGAATATCACTGCAGAGTGAGGAGAAAGACACCTAGTTGCGATGCACAGGCTGGACACTTCGGGAGGGCCAAAGCCTGAGCAAATGTCGGACATGGAATGAAATGGAGTCCATTTCGTCCGTGTTCAACAATTTGAAATAGGCATGTTGGTATTCTTCTTGGGCGATTCTGATGTAAATGTGTGGGTTTCGCCCGAAAGGGTCATTCAAGAACTGGCAGTCCATGTGTTTCTGATAATATTCACCTGTCATGTGAGGACTTTTAGATTCGATGTCATTCATGTTTTTTTCCCTCCTCACTTCTCTTCCTTTTCTTGCCTGCCTCATCTTCCCTCTTTTGCCATGGCTCGGCACTCATCTAACACTTCAGCCGGCCAACAAGACGCCTCGACCGATCCAGCATGCCGCAGCGGAGAGCTGCGAAATGTCGGAGAGCGTGGTGCAGCGGCCGATGTGGTGCCTTCGGGTGGGGAGTCAGATATATTGGGCCAGAAATATCACATGCCGGAACATATTGTCAGAAGATTTGCTAGATAAGATGTCAGATAGTTGCTCAACAGCAAGTATGTCTGTCAGCACATTGTCATTTCAGAGGTTATTTCTCAAATGTCAGTGCACATGTTACAACGCATGCATCTTCAATGCAAGAGGGTACAAATGCCAGATGAAATGCTAGCATATGAAGGCCAGGTCATAAGTTTCAGCATCGTTTTTGTCAATACCTTTGGTCCACACGCCTCTCCCATCGCCTCTCAGGGTGGGGATCTCTCGGTTCGCGTGAACCAGTTCGATGCTCTCAGGCTGCAGAGCTGTTTGCGAAGGCTTCCGAGCAGGAGGGGTGAGACTGATGAGCTGAGATGAGTGAGACTTGCCCTATCATCCCTTGTGACAACTGGAGTATGTTCAACTGGCTAGTTGAATCTATTTGAGTGATTCGTGATTCGTTCTTTTCTGTTGCTCTCCCTTAGGCAACTTGCCATATCAATTAATCTACCCGCCTCCCAATATTGTTCCAGACTTGTGTTTCCTCTACTAGCGCAATCTAGCGCAAATACCTCCCAGAAGGACCACCGGAACGTATCTGAGTAGCTTGATGCTTTTCAGGAGGCTTCCCCTCCAACTGAGAAAACATCTTGAAGATTAAACCGAAACGCTCTAGGCAAAACATCTTAGGCCAAAAGTTGCTGCAGGATCCACGCAATGCGAGGCCGCACGAAGCGTAGGGGCCCTGAGAGGCTCATTTCCGGCAAACCGCTGGGGTGTAGAACTTGCAGTAGACGTCCAGCCAAGACAGACGAAATGTTTGATGCAGAGTTTCCTGTTGACCATTGTGATGTTGGGCAGAACCAACACAGAATGAAGCATCCATGGGATCAAGAAAAACACTATATATAAAATTACAATATATTGGGAGAAGATATGGAAGGGCCTCTTGTGCCTGAGAGGTATTTTGCAAATCTAACAAGTCCCTGTGTTGTTTCTCCTCTCAAGGCGAGCCCAATGTTTGCTAGAGCTGGAAGCCTTCGAGGAGGCCCTTTCAGTTGATGTTGTCAACGGACTTTTGGAGAAGGCAGATGAAGGCGGTGCATGTGGAAGATGTATGAAGATGTGCGGCACGTGCCCTGCGAAGGGGAAGCCACCGACTGGTAGGCACTGAGTGCAGCGGAATTGGCTGCCCAGCTGGATCGTCATTGGTTGCCTGCGCAAGCCACGTGGCGCTGTGCAACGTTTGGCTCGCGGCTCGTGGTGCGAAGAAAAGGCAGAAGAATGGCCCCTTGAAGAAGGTTCCTTCAATATGGCACCCCTTTAAACGTGACCATGTTTCTCTTTCTTCCATAAATGTGACAATCCCTAGAGCACAGTCTTGAACGGGAAGCTTTGGACCGCCTTTTTTCTCGGGCGGAACGACTCTGGCGCTTTTGTGCGGCTAGTTTCTCATGGCTCAGCGGCCTATATACATATTATATATACATATATAATTGTCGTATCTACAATGTTTTGTCTTGATCAGGTGTATCCTGCCTGGGTCAAATTGTTGAGCTGTTCCGTTTTGGATCTTGTACTTTGATGTATTTTGATAGCGTTAAATTGCAGTGCTGTTTAGAGGACGAGGATGATGTGGGATCTCAGGAATCTTGCCCACTTTCTGTTTGTTTGAACATTGAGTGAAACAACTTGTTGCAACAACTGATTGTGTTGCAAGGTGCTCTTTTACATGGTATGATATCATGATATCGTATGATTGATGTTTGATTCGCACTGCGCAACGTTTCATGCAAAGAACACCTGGGTGCCTTGGAACGGCGATGTTTTCAAGTGCGCAAGCTGAGAGCAAGCCCACAGGATGCAGCAATGTGTGTCGCCAGGTTGGGCCGCGCTCAGCTCAACGCCGGGCATTTGCAGGCGAGGGACTGTGAATCTCTTTGAGGTGGGATGTAGAATCTAGGGATTCACTTCGAGTTCTTCACCCGGAGTTCTTAGCACTGCGACCGAGTTCTTAGCAGTGCGAACTCGCATCACATCGTCACGGTGTTTCGAACGGTGACCGGCTTCAGCATCCGGTGTTTCGACGATCAGGACGCGGTCGCCAGCTTCTCGGAGGCTTTGCATCTGGCTGAGCAAGACAAGGTCCGGATCTCGCGATCTACACAGGTGGAGGGAAGGATTACGATCAAACTTGGGCCGCCTGGAAACATGTGTCCTCGACTTTGGTGTTGTTTTGTCTGGGAAGAGGTTGTTAGCATTAGCAATAAACGACCTTTGCGCAGATCGACCTCAGGAAGGGCTCGGATTCTATCCTGAGGGCTCGCCCAAATGAAGGAAGTCGACGGACGGGGGTCGCACTACCTCTCCATATATCGGGGGTCTTGTTAATCAAGAATCATCAAGAGCTACATGATTTACTAGCTTTCCATTCTTGCCCTAGGAGTGGCAGAGTGACTTGAAGCTGGAGCTGCGCGAAGCAAAGGCCTTGCTGGAGAAGCATTGGGCGGAGCACCATGTGCCTTAGCCGTAGCCAACTCATGATTCTCATGTGCTTTCCTTTGAACATGCGGTTTCTTGATGTTGTCTTCCAGCAAGTTGCTGTCAGAGTGGATCCTCTACTGATGCAGTTGAAGTTTTCGATAGCAGTTTATATCAGTTTATGATTTCTTACAGTTTGTTGTTTTCTTTTTTTCCGTAAGCTTCGTGTGTGCTTCTTATGATAGGGTTCTTCTATGTAGACCTTGATGTATAGACCTTCGTGTTCCTCCATCGCGTCGGTGTATGTGACCTGTGTGGGTGATTTGACCCACCCAACCTGCCGAAAGCATGCTTAGTGAGTGACCTCTATATAATAACTTTTTGTAGGCGAGGTTGATTGTACAGATGTTTCTGATCGTTTCTGCCCGAGGATGTGCTTTTGCCAGTGGGTATGACCCACTTGCGAATCCGCCAGGCCCAACTTTCGGGCTGGACTCATCTTCTCAGACTCGCCTCCCCACTTTGTAGATGACCAAGCATTTGGTTCTGGAACTGAGCAGTCAGAAACTGTAATTTAATTGGCCAAATTGGAAAAGTACCAGGCCCTTGAAAGGTTCAATTGTATTCAATGATGGTCTACCCTTATCCTTCTGACCTCCCTGTTGGCGTTTCTTTTTACAAAAGGGTTCTACCGTATGTCATGCATCGGACCCAGGTAAGATCAAGTAGTTGTTTTTGCGAGTTCTATCAACCCCAAACTGTGAGAAAAAATGGCTTGTTTGGAGAGTTCGCTTCTTAAAACCGGAGGAATGCTTCAGATCGGTCCAACGGCCCGATCGGTCGAGCCGGTTCGAGCCCAGACGGATCCGGAGGATTCGCGTCGCGTTTGGGCGGATGACCACAGGCGTTGGACTGCCGCTATTGCCACATGGCTGGCGAATTGGGACCCGGCGGAGCGCGACTGGCTC